ATGTCGTCACTAAAATTATCAGAGCTTTGATGAAACTATCTGCAAAATGGGAATAATACAGACTGTAGTACATACCTCATGCTTATTGCCAGGCACAGATGAGATAATGCCTATAAAGTCTTTCAGATTTTGAAAGATTGTAAATAAATGCCTGTCATTGTTACTATTGCTGTCATTTCTGAAGCCTTAAGGTTTATAGAACATTTTCTTCACAACAGCCCTGTGAAGTAGGTTCTATGAGGATTAGTGTTCCCTTGTCACCTATTAGGAAATTGAATTTCCCAGAGGTTTAATGACTTCCCCAGGATCACACAGCTCACAAGTGTCAGCCAGAACAAAAACCCAGTTCTCTCTAGACTACAAGTTCAGAAGTCTGTCCACTGTACTAAAATGCCTGCTGTCCTTTATCCCCTCTTCCCCCAAACCCCTTCAAGATTTCCTGGGATCCATTTGTGTGGGAATCTGAGACTGAGCTGGAGCCCAGCATTACACAACAAGACTGTCTTATCTTTGGGAAGAAAATAATAGGACTCTTGATCCTGGGAAAACAGCTAATTGCATCTTCTGTGATGTCTACAGTGGCTTTGAAAACCTCAAATTATTCCTTTCATTGTCTTTTGTTGTTGTTCTGGCCGACTAATGTGTTCCCTCTCTCAGGGGAAAATAGCATGTAAAGCTAGGGGGAAGGGGGTGGGAACACCCAGATTTCTTAGCTGGATCTTAGTGGATTTCTTCACTTTCTGAAGGGAGTGCAGGGTTCTTGAGGTTTACAGATCATTGCCAGAAGGGCTATTTGCTCATACAAAGTTCTCCATTGTAATAGGCAAAAAAATCAATTTGATTACTTCCATGTCAGCATGCATGTCTAATGGACTAGAAGTTATTGCAGCTATAAAACACACAGTATCATTTCTCTCTCTCTGAAATTTGACAGGATTAATATAGTCAGCATGAAATCTTAGTCATAAAGTCGACCATAAGTGATGGTAAAATTAGCTAATGAAATCGGCTGCTTATGGAAAACATCTTCTGTTTTTCCTTCTGAGGAGAAGGAAGAAAACACGCTGAGAGTCTGAAAATGCCCAGTGAAAGGGTGCTAAGTCCTCCTTCCAATGTGCCTATCTCAGCATCCTCCCAAAGCGGGGGAGAAGGGGAAATGAAGGGGAGGAAAGGTATTTTATGTTTTTAAACCCTGTGATGTATTGAGCAGCCTGGAGCACACTGGATTTCTGTAGCAGAGTGGACTGTGTAGATTGATCCGCAGAACAAGGCAGCAACAGCAGCATACGAGCTCAAGCTAAATTCATTTTCAGCCAAAGGATGGTATTTCTAATCTGGACTTTTGTTGGACGTTTTATTTTTCAAGTTAAGAGCTTCAGCGCAGCTGGCACACCGAGTTATGATGCTTAAAAAGCTTTTATTCCTGTCTTGTCCTTTCCCCTCTTTCCTTGACCTCTTCCTTGCCCTCTTCCTCTTCCCACCAGCATCTAATTGCCTGCGATACCTGGGAATGAAGGGCATGTTCCCCTGATGCATCTGGAAGAACCTCAAAGTTCAAAGGGAGGACAATACTTTACTATTCAGGCAAATGCTTTCTGGGAATGAGCATTGTTCTCCTTGGAGTCCCAGAGTGGTTTTAGACGTTCTAGAATTGATATTTCTTTTTTCTTATAAGGTGCAGGGCGCTGGGTTGAGAGAGTTGAGGATCATGTAAGTGAAGATGCATAAACTGCTTTGAACAACTAGTTAATTGTTGTTCCACATTAAAGTATAAACTCTTCTATTCCAATACCCTCCATATTTGGGCCTTCCCTGCTGCAATGTTCTCTGTCCATTATCCACTTGCCACTTCAGCCAGGCTTTATTCCATCCTGTCTCCTGCATATGCCATGCTAATTTCCCACCTCCAAGCCCTTGATTATTTACTGCTGCATGAAATATCCTTGCCTCTCAATTTTCCTGGTCCATATTCTACCTGTTTTCAAACCTTCCCTCCTACCTGAATTCTCTTTTTACTTCCATCTGCACTGATCAGTTTCTCTTTTAAGCAGTTGGTGTCACTTATAGTCTATATTGTTGTCAGGTAACCTAGCATTTGGTTACAGATTGTCCGATCCTTCCTGTGTGTCATTTCTTCCCACTTTTGACTCTATGTCCTGAGAGGGACTTAGAGAATCCCTCATAGTAGACAGCACAAGCCTGAAATACTCAAGAGACTTATTCTCACTGTGGGTTTGTTGACTGATTAATTTGCCCTAGTCCGTATTGTGTCTCATTTAACCTCAATAATTCAAGATTAAGAGGCATTGTGGTTGGTGTAGCCTGGAAGACCTACAGTCCTCATTACTTGAGAAATCTTTTTTTTCCCTTATTTTTAAAATAATGTTAGTTTCTCCCAATTGCATGTAGAGACAATTTTTAACATTCATTTTTTAAAAAAATTGAGTTCCAAATTTTCTTCCTATCCCCCTCCCTTCCAGAGATGGTAAGCAATTTGATATAGGTTGAATATTCTATATTTGTAAATTCATCTACTCACTGTAAAATTTATTTGTAATTCCAAAATCAATACTCACTGTGCTTTCAGGTTGTTTTTGGGCAAGAGTCACCCAATGGTCATGGTTTTTGTGCTTTTTTGTTGGTGGTTAGACTAAAATATACCCCAAGCATAATAATATCCTAGTGCTGTCTGGTGTTCTTAAGTCCAAGAAGGACATGATGGATCTCAAATGAAAAAATTCAAGTGTTAGATAAGCTTCTTTCAGGCTGGAGTTAGAGTGCTATTGGCCATGAGTTCAATGTAAATGAAATAACAATAGTAAGATACATCCAGAAGAAAGAAGAGGAAATTTGTGGAAATGTGCATGAATGAGGCTACTCAGGAAAGTGCTAAAGTAAATGTTGTGGCTAGAGGCTCTCAGGAACCTAATCCTGCATTTCCCCTAGAAATATTTGTTCAGTGTTTGCTAATTCAGGGTTGGGACAGCCATGAATGACAAACTCTAGGTACTTTTGAGTTCTTTGTCTGACATACACTGGCTATGTAATGATAGACAAGTCATTTAACGTCTCCCTGCTTTATGCCAAAGTTGTCAAACTCAAATAGAATTAGATCTGAAAACCACCAGTTAACATTATCCATATTGCATTTTCATTTACTTTGTTAAATATTTCCCAATTACATTTTAATCTGGTTCAGCCATTGTGGAGTTTTTGTGGCCACTAACTAGTTTGACCACCTCTGCTCTACACAACTCTTTAAGACTGTAACTTGAAGAGAAGTTGCCCACCTGTGTTGGCAGGGGGAGACTTTCCTCAGCAGTTCATTCCCCATATAAGGTGCATAAGTCTAATCCCCCCCCCTTTTTTTTGTTCAGTAGAAAGGATTGGGGGCAGTGGAAGAAGAGGAGAGAGGGAAACAAAAAAAAGTCAGTCTAAGTGGTAAGTTCCTAAGTCATTCTGCCTGATGTTGTGAAGCTAGATGACACTCATCTTCAGCTTAGAACTTTTCCAAGTTGTTTCCATGCTGAGTTTTTTCCTGTCTCCCCCACTGCCCGTGATTCTAGTCTTCCAACCACAGCTTATCCCATGGTATTGCCACGGAGCAATTTTTTGTAAATGTGCCAGCCCTTCCCTCTTCTCATTGTAGTTCATATGGCAGCATCATACAGTGGATGAAACACAGGCATAGGATTGTGGTTCCTGATTTGCTTTAGGTTCTCTGTGTGATCTTGAGTGGCTAGATGGATAGAACCCTAGACCTGGATTTAGGAAGTCCTGAGCTCAGAGATGATCTCAGGTACTTACCAGCTGTGTGACCCTGGACTAGTCACTTAACTCTGTTTGCCTCAGTTTAGTCATCTATAAAATGGTGATAATAACAGCGCCTACCTCTCAGGGTTGTTGTGAGAATTAAATGAGATAACAGTTGTAAAGAGTATAGCACTGTGCTTGGCACATAGTACTATATGAATGTTAGTTATGATAACAGTCATGGTGATGATCCAGGTCACTTCTGGTTTCTGGGCCTCAGTTCATTCATCTTAAGAGACCATCTATACCCCTGCCTTGTCATTTCCCAGATAAAGTCTTTCCCATGATCATACAATAGATAGTGGGAGAAGCTTGTAGTAGATCCCAAATCTCTTCAGTTCACATGTGTAGGATGAGGTCAATAATACCTGCCTCACAAGGTTATGTGTTTTTTTTTAAATAAGGAACAAGCAAGAAAATAGTGGATATGAAAGCAATTTGGAAATTGGTCTTAAATGATGGACTTCTAACTTAGCTCATGCTATTCCCTGTACTCAGGATGCCCTGTCTTTTTTTTTTTTTGACCTATTGAATTCCTACTCTTTTTTCTTTTAAACAACCCAAATGCCATCTGTTTCCTAAAGCTTTCCCTAATTGCCCAGCTTAATAGTAAGGGTCTTCCTCCTAGTACCTCACATAATATTTTGTGTTTGATAGTGAAATTCTCTTGTCTGTTGTCTCATGTCCTTGCTTGACTGAACTCTGAGGACAAGGACCATGCCTTATATTAGGCATGCCTTATTTAAGGTCCTTTACAGCTCTAAATCTATGTTCTAAACTTCATTTCTCACCCTCTGCCACACTGCATGTATACCAGAGGCACTTAATAAATGCTTATTCAGTGGTAGATGACTAGATGTCTGATGGTCTTACAGTTGGAGAAGGGATGATTCAGCCTGTCTGCAAAGCTTATACTTTCCTGATGTCAACCTTACCAAGCAGCTGTTTGATATCCGAGTGTTCTAACCCTCAGATTTTGTTGGATCATGTAGCTATGTGTGGTAGTGGTGATGCTCATTCTCTGTCATGGGAACATGTTTGTAAACTACCAAGTTGAGGCAGGTGAGATGTCTGACCTAGTGTCTTTGAATTCATTGGACACAACTTGTAAACTTGGCTGTTGTGGTTTTGGGAATTTGTGTGTGTGTATGATAATGTAGTGTTACATTAGACCCCTTTCCTCTTAGGTACTTCATTCTCTGTGGACCCTGGGCTCTGTTTGTTTCTCTCTTCTCTTCTTTGCTGCTCCTAAACTAAGGTAAGTAAGATGTGTTCCTTAACATTTTCATCAGTCACCCACAGGTCATGAGCAGTTAGACTACATCACGTTAAGGTTTCTTCTAAATCTTTAAGTATCTATAGTTTTATGAAATTGGTTGGGAATAGGCCTCACTCTGGTCTCTTCCTTTTGGGCAAAATTTTATTTTCTTATTACCTATCTGGTCTCACTAATGGAAGATTTCATTTCAACAGCTAGATCAATGGTTCAAGAATACATACTAAGGAGTTTACATTCATGATTCTGAATACCTCCTCCCTGTTTCTGAAGAGAAACTTTTCTATAGCCACAAACCATTGGCCTTGGCTGCTCATCCCTGGAGTACATGGGAACAATTTATAAGGATAGACTCAGTAAACATAGAATTTCACAATAGCTAGAAGTGACCGCAGACATAATCTAGGCCTATCCTTTCATTTTACAGATGAGGCAACAGGGTGTAGTGACTTGCCCAAAGTCACATAGCAAGTTAGTAATACAATCAGGGGTAGAGCCTAGATTTCCATCTTGGATGGCACAGAATGAGCTATTCCCACCCATCCCCATAATGGAAATTCATCATACTGACAACAAATCTGGAATACCATCTTGTTATCAGAAGCCATTTTGCACTATCACAGCCTCAACCTGTGTAGTTATCATGGAGAATGACCCTGGATTCTTCCAAAATCCTCCCTCTCATTTCCTGTACATCCTTGACAATTAAAACCCTGGCTCATTCTATGAATATGTCAATTAACCAATCAAGAAACATTTATCAAACACCTTCTGTGTGCCAAGCATTAGGCTAAGCACTGGGGGTATAAAGGAAGGAAAAGACAGTTCCTGCCCTCAGAGAGCTTACAATCTAACGAACCCAATACTGGGTTTCTTTGTGTAATATGTGACTATACATTATCTTGGTGTAGCTATTTGTGATCCTTGACCCCGGGCTCTGAAGCTTTCTAAATGTTAAGAGACAACATGCAAACTAAGCTAAATACAGGATAAATAGACAATTGACAGAGGGAAGGCACTAGAAAGAATTAAGAGAGGTTGGGGAAGGCTTCCAGTAAAAGATGAGATTTTAGTTGGTGCTTGAAGGAAATCAGGAGGCTGAAATGAGGAGAGAAAGCAATTCAGACATGGGGAACAGACATTAAATGCTTAGAGCTAGGAGGTGGAATATATTGTTCTTGGAGCAGCCAGGATGCCAGCATCACTGGGAATAAGATGTAGGAAGACTGGAAAAATAGGATGGTGCTAGTTTATGAAGGGCTTTAAATGCCAAGCAAAACATTTTGTATTTGATCCTGGTGGCAATAGGAAGCCAGTGGAGTTTTTTAAGTAGGGGAGTCATGTGATCAGACTGCATTAGGAAAATTACTTTGTGACTGAATAGAGGACAGTTTGGAGTGTAGAGAGACTTACAACTGGCAGGCCCATCAGTAGGCTATTGCTACCCTAGACATGAGGGCTTGCACCAGAGTGGTGGCAATATTGGAGGACAGAAGGGCATGTCTGTGAGATATGTTGCAAAGGTGAAATTGACAGGCCATTGGAAACAGATAGGGAAATGGAGGTGAGAGATAGCGGGAACTCTAGGATGGGAACCTGAGGGACTGGGATGACGGTGTTGCCTTGGGAGGGTTCTGTTTTGGACATGTTATTTAAGCTGTTTACTGAGATGTATGAAAGGCAGTTGGAGATTCAAGATGTGAGGTCAGTAGAGAGTTTGGGGCAAGATCTGTAGATCTGAGAATCATCAGCATTGAGATAGTAATTAAATATGTGTATTTTTAAGTTTTCCTTGTTTTTGATACAAGGCACTTTCTAGGTCTCAGAAGCCCCTCGATAGGTCCTCCTCTTCTGGTTAAATTTTTTTAAAGGGAGCTTTTGAAATAATTGTCACTGGAAGGGGAATTCTGTAGAGTGGTCATCTTAGAGCACTAGCAACTTTGATTATAGACAGTAATCTCTATGGAATATCAGGAGGGAATTGTCTCAGTGCTGGCAGTACCAATGTCATCTTAATCATTCCCTATGCACTTTATTAAAGGTACTGGGACCTGTAAATGTAGCTTCTCATGCAGGAGCTATGCAGAATCAAAGTACAAATGGCCTTCAAAGCTATTTTGGTCCATAAAGTTAGCAGGACATTTTAAAGGATGTCTAAATATGTAGCTCTGCTTGACTGTAACTGTTTCAAAGAACCCATTTATTTCAAAATGTCAGTTCCCATCTACTGCAGGGAGGTTTTTTCCCCCACTTATAATTTTTTTTAAAGCTGTTTAAGTGCTTATTCCCCCCCAAAATTGTTTATAAGAAAGAAAGTGGCATAACTCCCAGGCTGGCCTAACTGTCAGCCCTGTCATTTTGGTACATGTCCTTCCTCTGCTGTATTTCCCTAACATTTTCCCCTGGCCTGATCATTGGAAATCTCAAAGCCAGTGACTTTTTAAAAATTTTATTCTTCTTCTAGGTTACTAATGGAGCTTAAGATAAACATGACTGTGGGGTGTGTTTGCTTTGTCAGTCTGCCCAAGATCCAGTGTTATCTTAGGTGTTGGTTATCTACGGTTAGGTACTTGCAGGCACACAGCTTCTGCTGTGGTGTTCAGCTTGGATTCCTTTCTCTGGTAACCCAATACTGGGTTTCTTTGCGTGATATGTGATTATACATTTTCTTGGTGTAGCTATTTGTGATCCTTGACCCCGGGCTCTCAAGCTTTCTAAATGTTAAAGGCACCTTCCATCCCCCATCAATTAATGGATAGCAAACTAAGTGGAGTGACACCCAGGCAGAAGGAGCCCACATCGCTCTCCTGGAAAACAAGAAATGCTATCAGGTCCAGCCATGCTGGTTACTGGCTAAATTCTTAAACTGATAGCGATTTTTAAGACTTTTAATATTCTAAAGGCTTCTAATGTTCTTTAAAGAAAAAACAAAACATTTGATATATGCACATAAAAACCATTGTAGGCCATTCTTCACACGTGGGCTCTAAGCTGTCTCCATCAGAGAGGATGGGCTTCACTGAATGATCGATTCTGTTCACCTGTTTCTCCTCGTGTCTAAGTCAACAAGTCAAGTGAATAATTATTTATTAAATACCTACTATGTACCAGGCACTGCGTTAAGCAGTAGAGAAACAAAGAAAGGTTAAAAAAAAACCTTGTTTATAAGGAGCTCATAGGGAGACAGCACAAACAGCTATGTACAAACAAGTTATATATATACACAGGATAAGTTGGAGGTAACCTCAGAAGGAAGGCACGAAGATTAAGAAGAACTGAGAGTCTTCTTATAGACAAGTAGGACTTTACCTGAGGATAGAGTAAGGATAAGAGGATAGAGACAGGAGTGAGAGTTCAGGCATGGGGGACTGCCAATGAAAATACCTGATGTCGAGAGTGTGTAGGGAACAGCAAGGAAGCTGGTATCAATGGCTCACGAATATGTGGAGAGTTTTGGGGGTGGCTTTATAAGATGTAAGAATACTGGAAAGGTGGGGTAGGCCAGGTGAATGAAAGAGTTTTAAAAGCCAAATAGGATTTTATATTTGATCCTGGAGACAGTGGGGAGTTGCTGGAGTTTACTCAGTAACGAGAAGTGACACAGTCTAGACCAGTACTTTAGGAAGATCAAGACTGACAACAAAATTGGACAGTTTGACTGATGCTAGGTGTTTAGTCTGTGTTTGGGGAAGACAAATGTAAAAACTTTGAGCACAACTTATCACTAAGAGATATTAAAAAGCTTTATTGCTATCTATTATATTAATGAACTCTCTCTCCTTAAATGTTAAGTCTACAGCTACAGATGACCCAAATATCTTTCATAGGAGAAGTACACGTTTTGTATGAACTCCATCTTCGTCAGGTATGAAGGTAACGGTCAATTCAGAAAACAAATTAACACAGACTGTGCGAGGCACTGGTGATGTAAACATTTTCCTCAATAACTTTGATCATTTTGATTTGATTTTTTTTCTTTTGGCTTATTTGAATGTTAAAGGGACCAAAGAGGTAGGACAAAGAAGACCCTCAACCAGTGCTTATGAACCTCCTTCCATCCTTATTTACCACCCTTTGATTCAGTATAGCAAGTATGTACAGAACATATATACAGAACACTATTATGTGCTTGCTACTATTTTAGTCACTATTATAATTAAGGAGATGGAAATGTAAGACATGGTCTCTATCCTCAAGGAATTTATCCTCCAGGAGTGGGAGGGGACAAGATGTGAAAGACAAATTATAAAATAATACTTGGCCAGATACAATAAAGAGTTAAATTGAATATCACTAAGTGCCAAAATGTGTGAAGATAGAAGGGTTAGAAGAACTTGAATAAAAGATTGGAGTGGTTTAGGAGAACACTTTGTGGGAGGGCAAACTGGGCTTGATGCCCAAGCATCAGGGCCAAAAGAGAACGTCAGTCACAGAGAGAGGACCTTCAGGAGCTTAAGTGTCTGGTTCTGTTGAGGAGAGGGGTGTGGCTGGAGGAGAAGTTGCCTGGAGAAGTGAGAGAAGGGCCAGACCATGATGCTTATTGAGTGTTGGGCCGAGGAGTGTGCCATTCAAGGTTCTTGAACATGCTGAAAGTAGGAAAGTTTGCTGAAAGTATAGGAAGTTATTTTCACATTGTTAGGATGGCAAGCATGCCCAGGTTTCTTAAGTAGCAGATCCTTTGCTGCCTTAGGGACCAGTGCAAACTTGCCCCTGCCAAGCCCAGAAATGTCCCTGATTTGAATAGATAGGAATTTGAAGCAGTAGAGAAGTATGAAAAGACTGTTGGACAATTGATGGTAAAAAAAGAGGGACATAGCAGAATAACTTAATGTCAGAGGTAGAAGACTCCTTGGAAGCCCCCACCCACTATGTTAGAGCATTGAATATAGAATGATAGGACTAGGAGGAGGCATTCAAAACCAGTGATTCCAATACCTCTGAGTTGGGACAGAGTGACTTGCCTAAGGTCATATACACTTGCA